AAAAAACAATAAACACACACACAATAATAATAATAATCACACACACTCAAACACAATCACACACAATCACAATAAATACAAAAATCTCACTCAATCACACAAATAAATACACACAAAAAATAAAACCACACACCCACACACACAAATAAAATAATAAAATCACACAAATAAAATAATCAAATTCACAATCACACACTCAAATCTCACCAAATCACTCACTCACACAATAAAAAAAACTCAAACTTACCCCACTCTGCCACCACGCCCAGTAAAGTATTGTAATCGCTGCTCCGGTTGGGTACGGGGTCAGCGATCTGAAATTGGACAAGTCTGCTAAAGATAAACATACAACTTTGAAATCAGTGAATTTCATGGATAAGATTTTAAATTGATATGTGAATGGATTCATGAAGGAAATAGGAACAATGGAATCAATAGTGAAAACGAACAGAATGCACCAAGAGATTCGGTAAGATTCAATGGACTAAACTATTGGAATTCAAGATGACAATCAAGCGACTTTTTGATGAGCAAGCAAATAAATCACGGAATGCATCCTGAGATATAGATTTCAGAATCTTCCACATCAGAAATCCAGATCTTACGGATATCAGGGAATTTGCAGCGACATCGTGCACGTAATTTCGAAAACGATTGGTGTTGATGAATTTGAAAACAACGGATAAATCAGTTATGAACTACGTGAGATCGGATCGTTCGCCATAACATAAATGCATTCAGTGAGCAGCGGACATAGATGAACCAAAGTAAGCAAATTCGCGATGGGATGACAAGAAAGTTATCATGAAAGTTGCGTAGGTTTACGCTGTTAAATAGCTGAACTTCATGAGTCCAAAGACCTGATTCCTCGTGAACGAGCGATAACTCTCAAAAAAATAATAATCGCACAGAATTTTGGTCTAAAGGACTAATAAAATTCCTCGATCTTCAAGCAAGACATGTGTCTTCAAGTTCGCTGTTCCACGAACTCAATTCATCGCAAATAATCGCTCGATAAATGATCGACAGACTTTCAATTCAATCTTTCAACTGGGAAATTCGCAAAGTATTATTCAAGAAAAATTCCGATGAAACGACTGGGCAAATCCTGACAAAAAATACTGTTTTTAGCGGCTTTTTCTTTAGCGCAGTTTTGAGGATTCCTCAAAATTTTGGTTTAATATTTTTGCATCATGGCACAATGCAATATTGCGATATGAATGATCATGCGATACGAAATTACTTGCGCGATATCGTTGAGGCACAGCAAGCAAATGACAAATGTTCAAAACGCAGAACTGCGTGAAGACCAAATGTGACAGATGGGCAATGAGACTTGAAGCGACATTGAAAATCAATCAAACAAACGAACAAATAAACTTAAAATTCAAAAATAAAACATACGTTCGATATTAATATTCACGAGTTCCTTCGGTGGCGATGATATTTGGGCGAACTACCTGAAATGACATGGATCAACATCAGTATGAATTTTTGTATAGAATTAAATGATTGATTTACCCGCTTTTAGAGGGAATTCAGCAAGAAATGTTCTCATACAAAAGGGCATGAATGCCACGATAAAACTGCAATCCCCATTTGGTACTTGAGAATTATTACTATGAGTTTCTCAATATCAGTATTATTATCTCCAGTATTATTGCTACCATCTCAATAATATATCGAGAAAATATTGCAACCAACGGCCGATATTTTAGAGCAAAGAAAATTTCAATGAGATGAAAAATTAACGATGCAAATGACTTTCACATCGGAAACAGAATTAATTTGAAACATACTATTATATTAATAATAGCCAGTTCAATAATTCGCTTCCAAGAGAGGTTTAGAGTGGTCAGCTCTAATTCGCCAATTACCTGAAATTCAACAGATTGTGGAAGGCTGATGAACGATAGTATTACATATCACTGTAATGCGAACCAGGTTAATGAGCGAATAGCACATGAATATATGTGATCGAATGTGAAAATGAGTAAATGAAAGGACGGAAAACAATAAGGGGCGATTTTGTTTAGTTTTGAAGTTGAGAAGACCATTCGATAAGATCATGCATTGATATTCTCATCATAGTCATCATCGTATCTTCAATTTTATTCAATATCTTCCGTGCTATTTCTATGAGCTTAAGATGAAAATAGAATGAAATCATTGAAACGATTGTGGTATCGTAAACAACATTTCAACAAAACGCTTTGAAATGATGACCCTTGATTCTGATTAGTGCGATCAGCTGAAATGGCACTCTATAAGAATTAGCTCATTGATGAGGAAATACTTAGCAACAATATCTGGATGATAAGTTGATGTTTCTGATTCAGTTGACAAGTGACTGTTTAGTGATTGTTTTCTGAAAGGATAAAATTGGGGGTTGAAAATGTAACTATTGAAGTGATAACTTGAGAATGAATTTTCAGATGTCATGGAATCACATTCATACTCTATCAAAAAGGCAAATATTTCAAATCGTTCATGTGCGTGTCCTAGGAATGCTAGCAATAGGTAATTTGCAGTCAAAAAGTAGTATCT